GATTATATGCTTTTTTCTTTATTCAAAACTTTGAACATGTTCATGAACTTTGAACCTAGGTTCAATAGGAACACTAAGTATAACTTTCAATATCTTGTATTTTAAAACATAAAGAATAGTATTAAAAATTTAAAATTAATAGCAATATGGTGTTATGTGGATAAAATAGTCTAAGGAAGAAGAGAGGTCAGTTACTGGATATATATATATATATATATATATATAATGTAATATAATACATAATGTATATACTTCTAAAATTGGTCTTAGGCACTTGTAATTTTGGTAATTCTTAGTTCTTTATTCTATTTTCAAATGAACTTTACTACACTCATCTATTTGTATAAATAGATGACTTTATTATTATAGTTCATGCATTCTGATCGAGCTTGAGAAAATAAACATGTTTGCTACGTAGTAATTTATATAAATGCTAAATTTGAAGATGTTTGTGTGCATTTAATTAAATTAAATTACATTATCAGTATAATGCTTATCTAAAGATTAATTTATTAGTATATATATACATATATAATGCGATAATATGTACTTGAATGAACTTTCAAGTTATCAATATTGATATCAATATGCTAAGTAAATTATATATTTGCAAAAATGTGAAATAAAATTAAACTATGATGTTAATTATTTGATATCTAATGCTATTTAAATTTAATTTAATTATTTTATTTATGTTTTTGACTTTGATTTTTAAAATATTACCAATATTCAAACCAGATTAATATTTACTCAAATGCTAAATTTTTAACATTATACATTATTGAATGTAGTAAAGGAAACTACATAGTAAGTTCTAAAAAAAATAGTGTTTTGTATATTTGAAGAACCTTTAATAAAACTTTACTTTCTGTTGAGCCAAAATAATTTTGTAAAAGATCTAATAATGTTTCTACATAAAGATTCTTTGATAGTTTTTTTGGATCCAATAAGCTTTTTGATAAGTTGAAGCTCTATAATTACACTTATTGATTATAATTGTTAATTCTTTTGTGAAGAATTTTAGAATTCACTAACTATAAATTGAATTTAGTATTCATTTGGACATTCTATTAATTGATTATATGATTTATCAAATAATAAAATTTGTATTGAATTATTATTAAGTTCCAATGTTATGTTCTTTCGTTCTTTTGAATATCTTCAGAAATATGGTAATTAAATATTTTTTTGATTAAGCTCATCTAAAAATACTTTCTTTAATTCTTGATTAAGATAACATCTATCTCTATTAAGCTCTAATTTTTTAAGTTTACTGCCTACTTGTAGAAACATCTTAGCCAATGTAGTCATAATAGAAGTCATAATAGAAAAACTAACTACCTCTTCAAGTATTAATTCATCAATCTTCAAGTATTTGAAGTCCTTACTTGTTTGGCTATATCTTTAGGAATTTAAAATCCTTACTTGTTTAGCTATAATATTTTGTTAGTTTGGAGATCTTCTGCTATATTTTTATTAATTGTTCTATTGATCTTTAGATTCTACTTGATCATTATTAAAGAACATCTAAAAATGTTTCTAAGAGGTTTAGTGGCATTTTCGTAAACTCGCAGGTTATTCCATTATTTAGTTATTGGTTATATATTTAATATGCTATATATATTTAAATAAAGATTTGGGTGTTTTGGAATGCTTAATATTTAATGAAAAAAAGGCATTTTGACTTTTTATAGAGCAACTAGAATTGAGATATATCATCAAATTTTTATATTTAAAAAAGTAAATTATATAGTAAAAATATAATAATACTACACGATATACCAAAACAATATAAATTATAATTTAATATATAAATATGATATCATAATATATAATATATATATATTATATATAGGAAAAATGCATTTGTCACCCCTGTTACATCAAATTTTGTCACAGATCACAGTGGCTAATTTATGTAAATCATTACATGATCAAATTAAAAATCCTATACTATGGTATCTTGACAACTACTATGTTAATTTTAATGAACTTTTTTTATTAGAATTCTATGAATATGTAGAATTCAAATAAAAAAATGTTTATCGAATTTGGCTTGATAGTTGTTAAGTTATCTTCACTCAAAGTTTAAAAAAAGTTTGTTGTAATTCTTTTTGATAGATGTTTTGAATTTTTTAAAACATTGGGTGAAGATAGCTCGACACACACCAAGCCAAATTCAATGACCATTTTTTTATTTGAATTCTACAGATTTGTAGAATTTAAAAAATTCATTGAATTTTGCTTGGTAGGTGTTGAGATATGTTCGCTCAAAGTTTAAAAAAAAACTTTGACACAGCTCTACTTTTTGATAAATGTTTTAAATTTTTAAAACATTGAATGAAGATAGCTCAACAGCCACCAAGCCAAATTCGATGCCTAATTTTTTATTTGAATTCTGCAGATTTGTAGAATTTAAATAAAAAAAATTTCATCGAATTTGGCTTGGTGGGTGTCGAGATATCTTCTCTCAAAGTTAAAAAAAACTTTGCTGCAGCTCTTCTTTTTGATAGATGTTTTGAAATTTTTAAAACTTTGAGTTAAGATAACTCGACACCCACCAAGCCAAATTCAATGAATTTTATAGATTTGCAGAATTTAAATAAAAAAAAGTTCGTCAAATTTGGCTTAATGGGTATCAAGATATCTTTATTTAAAGTTTAAAAAAAAACTTTAGTCAGCTCTTTTTGATAGATATTTTGAATTTTTTAAAACATTGAGTGAAGATAGCTCGATACTCACCAAGCCAAATTTAATGAACATTTTTTTTATTTGAATTCTACAGATTTGTAGAATTCAAATAAAAAAAGTTTAGTGAATTTGGCTTGGCGGGTGTCAAGTTATTTTCACTCAATGTTTAAAAAAAAATTTGATGCTATTCCTTTAAAGAGCACACCAAAAAGGAATTAATAAGTACTAATATTACATGTATAAATTTAGCAGTTTTAAGTTTAAGATTTTACTATTAAAAATGATCGGCAAAAGGTTCTTATTGATTTTTTACTATCATTTTGTGATGAAAAACACCCTAACGCTAACACTAGACCTAAAATCCACCTGTACTTATTAATAACTAACTAATCTTAAATTATTCTAATCTACTATAACTAACTCTAAAAAAAACAAAGTCCTAAAAAATTATAAAAATAAGTTTTTAGCCAACCCTAGTATCAGCTACGCTAATATATTCGTTAGCATTGGAGTAACAACTAACTTTCTATTAACTTGAATTTAGAGTCCCCATAATACCTATTAAAATCTACTTATATTGGTCGATACTCTAAAGTAAAAAGTTTTTGATACTGTAGCATTAATTTTAATTATATTTGTTGTTAGGGCACTGACATTTATTACGTAATATCCATTTACTATGAAGGCTATCCCCTCCCCCCACATAAGATCTATATTATATAATTTCTTTGTGTAACGTAAGATATTGATATAATATATGCTCAACCCCTAAAATATTACGTAATAAATGTCAGAGCCCTTACAGGTGACCCTCGTTAATATCAACCTAAGCCACAAACCCAAATTTTTATATCAAAATTCCCTTATATATATCAACTTGAATATGATTTCTCATTAATATCACTAACAACATGATTTAAAATCAATTCAAATAGGTTGATATTAACGAGGGTCACCTGTATTATTATTTTTTTTTTTACTTGTAGGTTAGATCATATAAAAATCAATAATCTTATAATCTAGTTTGATGTGTTTTGAAAAGTTAAAATCAATACAATAATTAATGGCTATAGAATAACTTTCTTCTAAGTAGCTAATTACTTTAAACAGTTTAATGCCTTTTAAGAAGTAACATTTCACAAATAGAAATAAAAATCAAGGCCGTCTCATCAAAAAAGCGTAAACGTTCACTATGCAAAATATTGTAATCCCAGAAGACCCATAACTTAGAGATACTTTACTTGGAAGGTAAAATTTCTAAATATATATTATAATTATGGAATTACACTATATATAATTACTAAATTGTTGGATAAAAAAAAAAAAGCTGAGTAAAATAGATGTTTAAATTTTGGCCAGTGATAAAAATATTTTTTCAGGGTGAAACCCGCGCTAAATTTTAGTAGAACCCTCTTTGATCATAGGAAATCCGCATTAGCATAGTGTTTTTTTCGTGTTACCCTCATGTGATCTGCATAGCGGATTTAACTATCGCTTCGTAAAATATTTAAACTTTAAAATAGAGTAATTGATTGGTTGAATGTCACACGTTAGATAACCACATATATAATATACTATAGAACTGGTAGCCTCTGATTATCCAATAAAATTACGATTTCTTTAACTATTTAACAGAATGGAATCCAATTAATACAATATATGATCTGGTGTAAAGTGTGAATCATTTTTTAACACAAGTTTAGCTAGTGTTTTTAAGAAAGTTTTTCTTTCTAGATTTTGCTATAAACTAAATCTTATTTTAATCTCAAACTACTAATCTAACGCTAACCTTAAAATTTTAAAGGTTTTTTTTAATAATTACAAATCTGTGCACAGATTACAAATCACATACCATAACGCTAAATTTATATTGATCAAATTCAATTAATGAAAAAATTGAGAAAATTTTGAGTATAAACACATCCAAGAACAACAAAATCTAATATGGCTTTTTTTTATATACATATGTTCAGAAGATACTTACTGTGATTGTAAATATGTTGGGTAAATATATCGTAAAAAAATTTTGATATATATTTAAGAACTGTATATAGATAGAACTTAATATTTAATATAATTAACCACACCAAAAAAAAAAAAAAAAAGGTCTAATCATAATATTCCCAATAAATATCATCATCATAATCAGATCCTGTATCTAACTCACTCCAATCAGATTGATATTCAAAGACCAGTTGCTCATTCTCAGATTGACGTTCAACAACTTGTGTAAACTCATTTTTAGATTGATGTTCTACGACATTCTGTTGCGTACGTTTATAACCTTTACGACAAACTATTAATAAAAAAAAAAGGACATAAAGTTATTATTTAATTATATTCAGAAATATATATCGATATGAGGCTTATAATACTTGCAATTTTGTCTTAAAGGGATTTTAGTAACTTTTCCTTTTTGAGGTATTGGTTTTAAATAATTTTTTCGTTGAGAAATCCGTTTATCATTCATGGTGATTCTTTCGAGTTCTTTCTTTTTTTGAGTTAAATGAAAAACGTCTTTTCAACGATACCCTATTGTATTTATAGTGTATGATGAATTTATTAGTCTAAGTTAACGAAAAAACTTTTTACTGTATATCAATAAGTTAACAATATTTTACAGTAGAGAGATTTTGTTTGACGTAATAATTATTCTAATAGGAGATGGATTATGGTTTTGGGATTTGGGGTTTTTATTTGATAGAACGTCATATGTTAATATATGATGTAATTTAAATGCATTTAATTGTTCTAAAAATGCGCCGCAGTACCTATCAATGAGCCATTGCATATGACATCAATATTGGTCATTATCGTCACATCAAAGCACTGAGTTATTGGAAAATTAGAATTAGATCAGATAAAAGATTGACTTAAACCGTTCTCAGTAGCCAATAAAATTTTTTGACCGAAGAATAATGATTGAATAGCTTTCTTTATAAGGTCGATTTTTATCGCAGCTGATGCTGAAATTTTGATTATTTTATTATCAAATTTTTAAAATTTTTTGGGGTGCATTTTTTTAGTCTTCGCGATATTTTTTTTTTTTTTAAAAAAAAAGTTAAATCTATTCTGAAAAATTAGTTCTCGATAGTTGTTTGAAAAACTCAAATTTGCAAATCATATACAGTACTACTATTGCTATAAACTACGTAATTTTTTTTATACTGTATTAAATTTGTATAGCTTAAATTTTATTTTTATCTTTGAAATTAATTATATAAATAAAAAAAATTAAAATATTCAGAAACAAAATTTATAACCAATTTAATTTTGTTATACCCGCTCATGTGAATGATTGATTATCTTCCTAATTCTGTATTAGTGTCGTTTCCAAATGTACTGACTTATAATAGATTCGAATGGTAAGTTTATTTCTGTTCACTTTTGTCTACTTTTTCATTTTATGCTCAAATTTAAGTAATAGAGAAGGATCAGTGGGAGGAAAAGCAATAAAAAGGCATTTCATAAGAACACCATGAATTAGAAGGTAGAAAAGCGCTAGCAGATACGCTTTACAAGAATAAAACGCTGGCTGCCTTATTTGAACCTTTATTTTAATTTTGAATTAGAAGGAATAGCATTAGTACCTGTGCTTTGCAAGAATAACACGCAACCATTTTTGAGTCTTGCCTTGAATGATAAATGGGATGCACTTTGCAAAGACACCACGTTTATTTCTTTGATTTTTGAAATAATAAACTAGAATCATTTGGAGGAAAGCATTAGTAGACGCACTTTGCAAGAACAATACACCGACTTCTTTTGATCTTGATTCGAATTATTTTGAATCAGAAGAAGGAAATTTTCAAATTTCAGCAATAACGGGAATGTATAATGTTGGACATTGTTGTCTGAATGAAATTGTAGTCGAAAAGATGAACATAGGACATTTATTTATTATCAAACATCAGTAAAAAAAAAAAGTATATCTGATATTAATATTGAAATGAAACGGATGAACGTAGGGCACTTGAATAATGGAATTAAAAATTTCATTACATTAAACGTAAGAAGTATAAATTTGGACATTACTATCTGAATGGAATCGTAACCGAAAAAGATGAATATAAAGGTATTCATTTATTATCAAGCGTCAGTATGATGATGGAAAAAGAATGAACATAAGACATTTGAATTGATACCAAATGGAATTGAAGTTGAACATAAGACATTCATTTACCTCAAATTCTAACCGATGGAGAACGTATAAATATTGGATATTGCTGCCTAATTGGAAATAGGTGACTCTACTCTTTCCGCTGTCAATACTGCTACCAGAAATAAAACATTTATTAAATTGTTTTTTCCGTGATGCCGAAGACATTTGATTAGGGACGTGTCAGATATTAGCTAAGATCTGTTTATTATAGAGCTCACTCCCCTCCCCCTCCTGAGAAATTTGGTCATTCCGGTTGGTTATATGTATATATTTAGACCTGAGATTTTGTCTACCTCCCTCCTACCCTACAATATCAGCTAATATCTGACACTTCCCTTATAGGCTGTGACCGAATTTTCGCAAGTATTATTTCCAGTGTTGAAATTTGATAAACTTGTGGCTAAGAGCTGTCTGGAAAATCCAAAAGAACCGCCCAGGATGTAATTAAACCCTTTTTTATATATATTTCTTTGTACAGTACATAATAAGTCAAGCTTTTGTACTATTATTAGCCTTTCGACATTGTTAATATCCTTTTTGATTGCTTCTTGTAGTGTGGGTTGCTTTTGGTAAAAAGCATTTATTTTATCTTATTAAATGTTTTAAAGCATGATCTTAAATATCATATTTGTTAAACCTGTTAAAAATGGTTTAATACATTATGACGTAATTATGATTTGGTGCGTAATTAAAAATGTATAATATTATGATTACGAAATTCAAAAAAAAAAAAATTAGAATAAAAAAATTCAACAAAACAATGTCTCATGTTCGTGGAAGATCTTTGTCAAAAAAAAATTCGGTTAAAGTTGCTGAACCTGATAAACGTGATCGAAGAAGACTGTGTTGATTTAGTTGATCAGTTAAAAGGTCATTCATTAAAATGTAAAAAAACTTTCAAGAAATATATAAGATTTATTTTTTTTTTACGTAATATCTCGGATCAATGTTAACCAGAATTAACAAACAATATACTTACCCTTACTCGCAAGTGGGCACAATATAATATACTGATACCTCAAATTTTTAATAAAAGTGACTCTATATCAGTTATATCAGTATGTGGCTTGTTAGAACAAAAAACTCAATACAACTTAGTCTATAAAATTAACCAAAATGTAATTATTTTTTAACTGATATTTTATTTCCTCGACACGTAAATAACTCTGGATTTTATTAAGTAAACACTTACAGATTTTTTTTTAATCAAAGCTTTCAGCATGAAATTTAGCTGTATATGTTTTTAAGCATCAACTATCAAATAAATAAAGGCTTGTACATAATGCAATTGAAATTATTTGGGTCTGAACGATTTCACGAATTGAATATTATTCCTCTATAAGTGTGCAAGAAGCTTCAATGTCACGAATGGTAATATAAAATGTAATCGCAAGAGTAAATTCGAAAAATTCACTGCAATCGTAAAAAGGTAAATTTGCCTTGTGAAAAAGTAATTATTATTCTAACAACTATATTTATGATTATCTAACTGGAATATACTGAATGTATAAACAGCTTTACAATATAAAGTGCATAATATATTTAAGTACTATAGATTCCAAATTTATTTAAACGTATTGTAGTCGTCTTCTATTTCATTGGATGATACCAATTTTACGTACGGTTCTAAATCTTTTTCAATTTGATTCCAGTGCTTAAGAACACGCTTTGCACCTGAATTGTCATGTATACATACATATTTTAAACTCTTCTTTCGTATACAGAATCCAATTAGTGATTCGATAATTTTTTTATAATAATCATTGTGTTTATAATTAACTCGAAAAAATAGTCTTTTTAAAGATATATCACAATGATTGAGTAAAATATCAATGTATGAGTTTTTTGGCATACCATCTACAGATAAATATTGCAATGAAGGCGGCAATGTTTCAGCAAGATGCTTAACATGTGTCTTCATTTCTTCTTCTTCTGACCCATAAATTTTCCAGCGTAAGATAAGAGATTTAAGTTTTTGTAAACTGCCAATAAATTCCAGAAGTTGAGCGGAAAGTGATACTCTCGAAAGATGGAGAAATGCAATGTTTGGACAAGATGTCATTAATGTGTTTAACAATGAAAATTGTGAATGAATATCTTGTTCAAATGAAAGAATCTGCAGTCGTTGGAGTAATGTACCGGACTTTTCTAAAATTTGTATTAAATTTGATGCATCAATCTGGTTTGAATTTACAAGTAAATAACAAAGGCTAGTATTTAATGTTTCTAAAATTTCCTTTTCGTCACTCTGAAAGATATGAAAGACTTCCAGATTTTCACAGCTTCTTAAGACTTCAAATTCTGAACTGTAAGCACAACGCTCAATAATGATTTCTTTTAATGAATTTTTTTGAATTTCTAAAGCTGAAATGATTCCACAGAATCCTGTAGAAAATTCTTCATCGCCACGTATTTCAAAACTTTTAAGTTGTTCTTGTGATTTAATAATGCTTATATATGCATAAGATAATCGTTGTTTATAACCAGGATAACAATCAACTTTCAAGATCCTAATTTTCTTAGAATTTTTTGTGATGATACTTAAAAATGTGATCACATTTTCGAGGCAAGTTTCATATACTACTTCCACATTTAATTCGTGAAGTTGCGAAAAAAATAACTTATTTTGTCCTAATAAGTAAAAGATCTCTGGTTTAAATTCAAATCTTTGGTCGTGAATATAAAAATTCAATATAGATAAAGTGGCACCGCTCTCGATAAATATTCTAAATAATAAATTGACAATATGATATTCCAAATTTTCAACATTTACTTCCTGAACACGAAACTGGAAGTGGAGGCGGATCCATTGTACAACTTCATCCCTTAACATAGACAAATCAAAAACCTTTAAAAATCTTGCATATCGAAATAGAGTATTAGGAAATTCTATTCTTATTCCACATTCATTTAAAATCAATTTTTCTTCCTCTTCAAGAGATGAAAAGTATTCATATATAAACATTGGATTTTTAGAAAATGAAAATGGATTTCGCCAGAGTATTGGAATTGACATCCTACACCAATATCGGTTCACAAGTGCGCATGAACGTAAAGAATAAAGTTCTTTATCTAAATTTTCAAAAATTCTTTCCATTAACTCAGGCATATCGCCCAAAAATATTTTTGACGCCATGAGAAAGGTGAGTAGATCAAAAAAAAAAAATTTTCACGTTAAATTATATTATGATAATAGTCATGTGACATGATTGATACGTAGCATAACATAGCGGGCTTTAATTCTGATTGGTCAATCACTAAATATATCGTCACATATTACACCACATATATCATCTGAC